AGTGGTGGTATTTGCAGTATTTGTTGTTGACTTCGTTGTACATGATGGAGCCATGGGAAAGATATACTCTAAATTCAATTTTTGTCGTCGTGTTTTCTTTTGTCACGTACTCAGCGTGGAAACTTCTGTTCAGCTCTGTCCTTTAGACAAGACAGCTTCTTTCTCAGTATATTGTTTTCCGTTTCTCTCTTCGACGATGCAGTCGGAGGAGGGTGAAGAGCAGATGCAATGTAATCCAAACAAGCAGCCCGATTCCGATTTACCTTCGCCCCGAAGTGCGGAGGTGTGCGGCGATTCCGGTGACAGCACAAAAATTAATATCGTCTTAAAACCGGTCGGTGATGCTCCCATCATGAAGCAACGCAGATGGCTTGTTTTGCGCTCTCGTCCGTTGGCGTGGGTAAACGCGTTCATCCGCAAGTACCTTAACCTGGACCAGAAAGATTCGCTGTTCCTCTACGTCAACCAGAGCTTCTGCCCGTCACCCGACTATACCATCGACAATCTCTACAGCTGCTTTGGCTCCGATGGCAAGCTAATTATCAATTACAGCATTTCGGAAGCGTGGGGCTGACAATTGGGTAGAACAGTCAATTCTGTATAACTCAAAGTGCAGTAAACTTTTCGTATGCTCGGTTTGTCACGTTTTTTCCCTTAAGCTGTTGCTGATTCAGAAAGTTTCTGACGTGGTTTATCATTGCGCTCTGTAGAACGTTGCGATGGTGATTTTGCTCTGACGTGGCTGATGATGACGTTTGTTTTTAACTCATTCTCCCAAGTTTTGTACGTAAGTGAAGATTAAGGTGTAAGTTCAATGCAGTTTACTCAACAGCCTTTTCAAAGACATTAACGATGAACCATATCAAACTGAAGCTTTAAAGATGAAAAATTACCTGAAAGAATAACTGTTTGTGTGTAGCAAAGCAGTACCATTAAATGCGGTGTGATTCTGCAACAGATACCTATAATATATGATTAACTCTCAGTAAAGTAGCATATTTGGATGTACTTCTCTACACATCTTTTTTGAGTACTCTACACGTGAGGAGGTAAAATAGCGTTTATTAGGTATTATTGTAAATGTCTCACTTTGAGTTCAAACTTCATGAGTTTGCAATATTAAGCTATCGATGCACGCAAATTCGCTGGATTGAAAAAAATGGCAGAACAGCTTAAGGTACTCACCCTTCACTTGCTACAGCTGAATCACTTCTGTAGTAAATGCGGTGATACGCTCGAAGCTGAAATAGTTTCTGGCAGAGCTCGCTTTCCAACTGCGTCAGCTTTCGGAAATAATCCTGCCAAATAATGATCATCCTAGTTGAAAGTTAGGAAATTTTATGACCGCTGGGACGTAGGTCTCTCTTGATAGGTGTCCTTTTGCACAGTTCTTTTCTTGAAATTTATTGCACGTTAGCGATCGTGATTTCCGCGTCATCAGCCACGAGTGCCTTATTTTAAAGACAAAGTCAGCATAGCATTTAGCCTTGTGTTTCTTTCCCAGTGGTCACTCATTTATCATCCTCGAAGAATAGAAAGGCGAATGATCAGACTGGGGCTCGAGTTCGTGACCTCACAGCTTCGAGTCCGACGTTCTACCGACTTCATACTGACATTGGTTAGCAAGCACGAAGGAATTGTGAATCAGCAATCCCTCAGATTTCGCGACAACAAGATACATACGTCTAATCGATATGACAAAGGACTAGGTCCAGCATGAAAGGATTTTCAAATATTCATTGTTTACAAGTCAAAGACTATTGTGGCTGAAGAGGACTACCAGTCATGCTCGAAACCCGGTCTCCCTTTTTCATTGCCGTGCTGTGTATATTGTTTCTCTAACAGCAGCTCGCTATTTAAACCGACTATAGCTCGTCGGAAATTTAATATCGGTAGCTTTTCTCGTCTAATTTGAATTTTTCTCTCGTAATGTCGAATGTGCTCGGTTGCGTCTCCGTGTCTCGGAAGGGGAGGGAATGACCGATAAATTTTGCGCAAATACCTCATCCTTGCATTTCATGAAGCCCTTGGCATCCTTTTCCAGGGAGAGTCGGTGAAGTACATTAGTCGTAAAATTTTTTATCACCTTTTCGCATCCATGTTTTCATTCCGTGACTTACCTGACGGGTCGCAAGAAAGAGGTGTTTGACTTGGTACTGCATTCGTTTAACGCCCCTTTTAATGCATTTGGTGCATTTTGTATTATTTCCTTATTCAAGTGTAATAATGTCCCCTGAAGATAAATCCAGTCGGGATTTTGCTTAATACGATTTATATGCAAGTAAGCCCTTTGAAAATTATATCGATAAAGACTGTCCTATCCCTTGCGAATTCAATTTATTCCCCCTTAGTTGTTTCTCTCAGGAATTTTCGTTGATGCAACGTCAACACATTAGTAACCATCCATTATTGTGAAAATGATTCATTAATATGGCGTGGAGAAGTAACTCTTTTAGAGGTGGCTGAAAATTGATGATTCCGTTTGTTAACCACTTATTTACGCTTCTAGTGCGGGTGCTCCTCTTCTGCGCTGACACAGGAGATTTGGAAGCGGAAGATAGTAATAAAATGACAAAGATTTACACAGACGAACTATGATTTCGCGCCTTCCGTCATTGAATCCGAAGCACTTCCTGTGATGGAATGAATTTAATAATTCAGTGATTGTAGATGTCAAACAGTTCCATTTTGATAGCGGTATGACAACAACATTGTCTCTTTTGGTGTACTTCTATTGTTCTTGTGCTGTTGTTCAGATCTTTCGTGATATTTGCGTTTGTGCAGGGACGGTTAGTGGATAATGGCAAAACGGAAGGCTCCGAAAAATGCCAGAATTCATTACATTCCTGCGGCAATAAAACACGATGGGCATGCGCAGGTAGAGAAGTACTTTGAGTGCAGTCGACTAAAAGCTGCCGATGGCAGTGAGCATGCGATGTTAAGAGGTCGAGGTTTGTGTGGCATGACTCTTCGGCCACCTCAAGGGTACAAAATATTCGTCACTCAGCCGAAACAACCTCTCAGCGAGCAAGAGGACGCAGACGAGTGTATCGACCTGCGAGTTTTGCAGACTGCGGACGATTTTACTTATTGGAACTGGGACAAGCAGCCAACGTCCATGGACGCCGTTCAGAAAGCATTTGAATGGATCGACGTGGCTTCGGCGCTGTGTAACTCAGACGGCGAAAAATCATAATGATTTTGGTTTGTTTGTGTTGACTCTCATCAGACGATGTTATGACGATGTCTTTGACCTCAGGTCGTAATAAACTTTTCGCCTGTTGTGTGGAGCACTTTTTCTGTTGAAACAAACTTACTGCTTTGACCTTATTACAAGCACGAGGAGGTTTCATTTTGTTTCTTGTCTACAACGTATTAACTACAGGCAGCGTTTCGCATGCGTGTGGTCGCCAGCAGATTCTGTACTTTTACCTTCGTTTGGCTTTGGCTGGTGGTGCCGGTGTGCGTTGCCGAAGTGTTGACAGTAGCCACCGCAATCGGTACGGCATCCATTCTGTCTGGTCTGCTCGCTACCCTGCCATACTTTCGTTGTCGGTGGTACGAATGCTGCGAGGACACATGGGTGTCCCCTGACCTGCAGGGTTCGTTTCATCTGACTTCTTTTTAGACTGCACCATATTTATTGTCTAACATTCATTTATGTAGGCTTGAACGAGGCACTGCAAGCCAAGCTTTATGGGCAACCGCTGGTCATCAACACGATTTACAACGCGCTCAAGTCGCACTTCAACAAAGCTGTCCACAAGAAGGCGTTGGTCATGTCATTTCATGGCTGGAGCGGCGGTAAGGTCTGAAATTTGCCTCAGACTTACTACTTTATAAATTACTGTAGCGAATTTTTGAGCCATGTTTCAAACCATGGCTTCAAACATAGTTTCTATTAAAGCTTTTACTGCTGATGGGCTTCGTATTATACTCGCGGAATCATCAAAACGTAAGTGATAAGGATGGCAACAAACCGAGATATGAAGACAGAAATTGAGTTAACTGTAAACAGTACCAAAAGGCTTGAGTTGACGTCAGTGTGGATGTTTGTATCAGCTTTGGTATAGCGCACCAGCTTTCTGTTTATCCATGGAACCAAAGTGTCCATTGCAATTTATACTTATCTATCAAAATATGAAGGGGCTGCTTTATCGAAGCACCCTTACTTGAATGGTATCCCTTGATTACACACCGTACCTTACTGAATGGGTTTCCCTCAGAAATAGCAAAACTGTCTGGCTTCCTGAACGGACAGTAGAGAAATGTTCCTTGATTCGCCAGCTTAATTTCTGGTAGGTCTTCTTTGTGCGCTGTTCTCATCGCACTCCACTATATAAATGGCTTTCAGCACTTAGGTTTTGAATTAATACTTCTTAAATAGACATTATCGCAGTGTTGTGCTATCCAGGTCGTGTGATGGACCGAAAATTTGTTTGCGGGGTACTCATTTTTGCTCAAGCACCAATGGTATGTATGACACAGTTACCGTCACTCTACATTGGTGGTGGTGGGAGAGAGCTTTTTTAAGTTAGTGCTGAGGTGCATAAGTTTATTTTAAGGTGTCCGTTTTTCAGGTGCACTTCGTGCATTTGACGAATCTTTGCGTAGGGTGGAAGTGGTAGCGTAGGTTTTAAGCGTGTACGTAAACGTATATATTCACTGTTTTGCTGAAAAGAACAGGAGGTTAAACGTAGTTACCTGCTGGAATGGTTTAGATCCCGGGACGCATAGAATGTTTTGCTGCAGCGATAGCCCAGTCCAGTAAAGGTATGTTCTGGCTTGTGTTAGCTTCGGTAGTAAACCGTATTCGACCATTAAGATAATGCCGTTCATTCAGATAATTCACTTCAGATTATTTTCACGTTCAGATTATTTCACCCGTCCATTTTTCTTTGGAATTACACTATAATTTCTTAGATTAAGGGTTGAATTCCTCCTGCTTGTTATATAAAAGATTTATCGTGACATTTCGTTTCGTTAGGATTACATGGCATAATCACACCGTCTGTATGCTGCCATTTATGGGAATCATTAAGCACATGGCGACTTCATGGTATTATACAATCTCCAGTGCATAGATGCAAAACCGCAACCATGTGTTGATTCGAGTACGAACTAAGTTACTTTTTCACAGGTACATAGTGCACAATGTAGGTTGTTATGCCGCAGTGTATTATTTAGCGCATGACCCTCCAAGACCAGATTTCGCGGCTTATTGCTAGACAGACTCCTAAAAACCGTTAAAAATGACGAACTATGGAACCTTTCAGTGGTGAGTAGTCACCAACAGGCTAAATTTTGTATAGTCTTCACCTGAATTTTTCAATACTACAGTGGCGGCTGCATTTTCATCGTTGTTGCCCACGAAGTTTGCTTACTGGTAGATGTGAGTGCGATCCGTCTAAGTGACTCTAGGGTGACCCTTTAAGCAGATAATGACTCTAACGTGCCACGGCTGGTCATTACGTGGATGTATATGTACATGACTGAACACAAATTAAAATGTACGTAAATCCCGTGGAGGTCTATAGGGACGTCTAAAAGCAAACCACGGCATGATTCGAACTTAAAGCATTGTTTACTATATTTAGCCGAAAGTGAGAATAGCATATTTTGAATTTATGATTAATGAAGTTAATTACTGCATATAAAAAATTAAATATCTCTGTTTTAGGAATCACTAAATTGATTTATAATTATTTTGTAAGTACGTCTACTTCATGTGCTGATCAGCTATCAGGTGGGTCAAAGCAAATAACGTCTGGGAGGCGCTCATATCGCAGTAATAGCATATGTCTCAGACGTTTTAATATGGCCGCACTCAAATACAGTGCTGTCCCTACTTTCCGCAGGTAGACGACTGTCTACCCGTTTCTCGGCTGGTTGTATTGAGGTGAATTCATTGCTCAGGGGAATTAGCAATTGATAAGAGAATATTTGTCTTTTACGTGGCACCTCTGAAGAGGAAAGCTGTAACCCATTGTACTGCTGTCCTCCTGTCAAGCAGTTAATCCGCATGTTACTTACTGTGAATACGAATGGGTAGTATTGCTTGAAGCAGATAAGAGCTGATCAGTTACCTTCATTTTTGCTTT